TTTACTCATCTCAGCACATTCCATAATTTTCTTAATAACTTCCTCCTGCATAGGTACTTTTGATATCCAATTTTCTGAGTGCAATTCAGAATGTTTTAAATCCTTGAATGGCCTATATGCTGGTTCCTTCAGAAGTACTTCTGGTGAAGTTCCCATACACTAAATTGTGACACTGCTGTGTTGCTCTGGTTCTCACTGAGTTACAAGGCTTTTTTTGTTTCTGGTTCCCATCAGACTTGTTTATTAGGAAGTTTATTTTTGGAAAATAGTGCAACAAAAGCACAAAGACCCTTATCATACTAACTTAACAGCCTTCTCGACAACTGAATGAGATGGAGCCTCTGCCAAGTATTAATCTTCAATTCACTAATAATCAAAGAATATCAATTCACTAATCATCAAAGGAAACTATTAAGTCAGAAGATCCATCTAGCTTAATATTAGTGCTGTGCAGTGGTTTGGATTTGAAGGCAAAATGGTGTTTCAGAGCAAGTGGGGCATACACACAGTTCCTGTCTGAAATTCTTTAAAGCAGCTATGTCTTTTGCAGCTGAAACATGATCTGGGAAAAATACCTCTTTGGTTTATGGACATTTATAGGACATTTCAATATTTTTGAAAATAATATTAGAATGTGGCATTTAGCCTCTTACAACTGTTGAAAATTGGTTTGTGTTGATTTTCATTTTGCTTGTGATTATTTGTATTTTTAATTGTACACAGCAACACATTTTAACATTTGATCCATTTAAAAATCTTGTTGGATAGAAATAGAAAAACAAAATAATTCTTGAAAATCTTAACGTTTCAGTATAAATGCTCTTTGTGCCGAAACAGGCCATTGCACAAAAGAGATTGGTAGAGGGAATGAACAATACTAGATGTTAGCTTTACTCAACAACCTGTTTTGTCGTTGTTTAGGTTTTGTTTTGCTTTGCTTTGCATTTCTTCCTCAATTAGGAAATATGTTAATGGAATGCACACTTAAACCAAGTGCCCTGCATTTTTGTAGGGGGAGGAGCAAAACCATGTTCAGGATTCATCAGAATTTTGCCTGCAAATATAAGTTGCAACCTGACCAAGGCCACACAAATGTACACTAATCCTGTTAGTTCAAACCAAGAGTGAAGAGGAGAGGCTACAGAGAGCTGTCTCCTGTCAGATTGTAAGAAGAAAGGAACTGATGAACTAGGAGCTTGGATGAGCAGAAACTACAGTGTTAATAGCCAGAGGGCTCAGAAGTCTTTTAGAGATTTCTAGGTGTTATGATGTGTTGTCAAAGGAGTCATGTGAGACCTCCACTGAAAACCCATCAGTAGATACAGAATGTATTTTGTTTTTCATATTCCCTCAAGGATATTCCAGTGAAAGTGTTCCTGTGGCAATTAGTTGCCTTTGATGTGTGGTTTAATTGGAGAACCTCACTGTAGTATGGATCTAAGCAAGGTTTTTTTTTTTAAATAGTCACACTGCCAAAGTTGTAACTGCAGTACTGAAATCAGATAATTGTTCTGCTTTATTTAAGGAGTGCTTGTACTACTTTGAAACATCCGTTTTCATGGCAATATGTATGCATATCAATAACATTGCAGACAAAGCAACATTTAGAAGAGCATCTCTGTCTTTCCCTCTCTCTCGAA